TCGGCTCGTTATCCTAACGAGCCAGAAAGCCAGCTCGGCTCGGCTCGTTAAAAGCTCGAGCTGGCTTATTAAGCTCGCGAGCCTTTATAGTCCACCTCCCATTTATAGGTCAAGTAGGACCCGGTTGTGAAGGAAAGCATCCTCTGCTGGTGTCTTTACTTAAGTAATGTCCCCAGTTGAATAGTAGAAGACATAGCTTACCAAAGTCAGAACAAAAGAACCTTAGTTATCCTCTCTACGCTCCTGTTTATCCTAACCTTGTTGCTACCCTTAGTTAAGTTAGACCGTTGTTAGTCTCACATGTTTCTCTGTGGATACGATACTTGGAATACTTTCGGATGAAAGCTACAGCGATATCCGTGCGCTTACGAATTTATCTGTGTGCGTTAATAAATACCAACAACTACCGGTGACTGACAACCAAATTCAACAATATTTAAAATCTAATGCTTACTTTCACATAAAACTCAACTGCTCGGTTGGTAACGAGTAAGCAAGTTAGATAATCCTACTAATACATCACATAAGAGGCAACCTTCATTATCTGCTACATGACTTTTTTAGACATAACTGGGAGTTATGAATGAAATACTAAGAGTGAAATAGATGGAATATTTAAGATGGTGAAAGTTATTTGCTGCGAAACCAGTGGCCTATCCAAATATGCAAAAATACCATCGTCAAGATAAACTTAACAAGCCATTCCCACTTATTCGTAAAGATCTAGACACAAAAATTCTATACAAAGCCCCCTTTGTTGCTTATTACTGGATACCTGACCAGGTTTATCAAATCGAAGAAGAAAAGTAGTAATTAATAGTGGAATACGCCTACAGGACATAAGCCTAGCCAGAAGAGCAAAGTGTATCCCTCGTTTGGATTTTGGACCAGGAGTAGTATTAGTATAAATTTTATCCAGGGATGCTACAGACAAAGAATAGCATGTTCAGGTTCAGACTCTCAGTTCACAATTGAACCTCACTGATATGTTCCAGTGGAAGCAACTTACAACATGTACTGATTAATCATGCAAAAAGAAGGAACATGGCATTGTTCCACTGCCAAACGCACCTCCACTCGAAACCCTGCCCCTGCCTCGGTCTTCTGCCCATTTCCAAACACTGGCGATCTAACATGTCGTTACGCCGGAAGAGATTCATTTCATCACCAGGCCAAATACAACAGCAAGCCAACATGCGGGAGGACAGTGGTAGACAAGTGGACGCTTGACATTGGTAACTTGTTCATGATGAACTGCGATCAAAGGGAGAGGAATGTCCACCGAGGAAGAAGGTTCCTCGTCAAGGTCAGTCATGGAAGCTATACCTCGGTAGGGTTCTTGCACGGATCAGAGCACAAAAAATAGGAAAGAACAGGGACCAGTAATGCTAAAAATGGAAACGACTAGTTCCCTGTCAGATCGGATGGTTTGCATTTAAAACCCGTGATCGTTTGCTGATTAGGGGCATGTTCTTTTTTATCGGAGAAGGGACTAAAGACTAAATTTTAGTCCTAATTATTCCCTTTGAACCAAACACTAGGGACTAAAACAGGGACTTGGGATTAAAGGCCCCCTTCAGTTTACCTTATAATCCGTACTATTCAGCTTGTTTTTTCAGCCGGAACAATATTTATCTCTCACAATAATTCAACCAGAATAGTATTTTTCAGTCAATTCAGCCAAGTTTTAGCAAGCCGAACGGGGTAAAATGTAGTAGTCCCTTGGGAGGCTGTTAATTGGAACTAAACAGCCCATATCCATCCCTCTGTCTCTTCTTTCTCACAGTCTCTCTCCTCTCCTTTAGTCTCTGGAAATAAGCACCATTTTAGTTTCTGTTTTAGTCTCTAATCTAAGGCAAAAGAAAAAAAAAGTCCTAGCACGTTGCAGCAGCCTTGCAGGCGCCGGCGATGCTAACGTGGTCGCTGCCCTGCAGGCGTGAGTGTGCCCGCTGAAGGAGACAGGGGAAAACCGGGCGTGGCCACGCGAGAGCGGCTCGTGCAGGAACCGCTGTACATGTAGCCCTGTGAGCGAGGCCGGCATGGCCGCATGGGCACAGCATCTGTGGCGAGGTGGGCGCGGTAGGGAGGAAGGGGCGGGGGGATGAGGCCCAAGGGGCTGTCCAAATCATGCCGACACGAAAAACACGTGTCCTGCCGCGTGCCGTTCGACAACCTTTCCGAGTCGTCGACCAGGGCGGGCCCAAAATGAGCTAGCAAGGCCCTGTTTAGATTGAAAAAAATTTCAACCCGATGAATAGTAGCACTTTCGTCTTATTTGGTAAATATTGTCCAATCGTGGACTAACTAAGCTCAAAAGATTCATCTCGTGATTTCCAACTAAACTGTGCAATTAGTTATTTTTTTTACCTACATTTAATGCTCCATACAAACGGCTAAAAATTGATGTGATGGAAAGAGAGTGAAAAAACTTGAAATTTTGAGGCTATCTAAACAAGGCCCAAGGTGTGAAAAGCTTCGAGCAAACTGATGACCGCATGGTGCGGTACCCATGCTCTGTGGTGGGTTGTGTCCTCGTGCCAACGTGGTAGTATAATATACTGGCGCCGTTTCATCCACGGATCTTAGCAGCTGTTTTTTTTAACTTCATTTGCATATGGTGCGTACACTCTTGTGACCGGTACAGGGCAGCTGTTTTTTTTTTAAATAAACTCTATTTTTTCCATACAGTGGGTTCACTCTTGTAGGGCAAGGATAGCCACCGCGTGGGTGAGGACGAGGACGAGGAACGCGCGGGCAAGGGCGGAGACGAGGATGTCGATTGTGGCGGCGTGAGGTTTTCTAAATTTTTATTTGCTTTTCACCGGCTGGTTTGCAAATTGTCAGTGATTATATCCATTTTCAATGCCCACTTTTACTGCAGCCAACAGTGATGGGGCTTTGAGCTCGTGCGCAATGCACCGATACGACTTATAGAATACTGTAAGCACACACGTGAACCACGAGGTTTTTTATTTTACATTTGCTTGGATTCTTTCCTGATTCATGCAGGTCTAGGTTATAATTAATTCGCCGTCAGGAAAAGCCATCGCCATACCTATTATACGTATAAGTATCGTCCCCACTCATGTGTTGTTGCTCGATCGCTCTGTATAAATATCGATAGCAATACGGAGTAGAGTAAGCAGTGTATGCAAGTGCAAGCAGCGAGCCAGCTGCTGATCGACGAACATTATTACCGCAGGTTTGTAATGAATCGACCGGTGAAAATTATTTTCACTTTGACCTAATGGAGTCGGTAGTGATAATCTTTTTCACGGTCAGGTTGTATCCTGGAATGATAATGAAAACCAGACTAGTTTTCGCTGTCGGTTCAAGACACAATCTGACGATAAAAAACGAAGAAAATATATAAGCAGACACCAAACCCTATCCCTCTCTCTCTTGGTCACTGGCACTCCCTCCCGGCCACCACTCTCTCTTCCTCTCAGGCCCCTCTCCCTCCCTCCCTCCCGACCCCTCTCTCACCGATGTAGGCGCGCATCGCGACAATTAGCCAGACGACGGGAGCCCACTCCCTGCCCCCTCTTCTGGCGGATCTAAAGAAGGGGGGGGACCTCCCCTCTCCCGGTGTGGTGGCATCAAGGGCTCGCCGCCCTTCTTCATGCGACAGACCTGGGCAACCAGGACAAGGATAGCCACCGCGTGGGCTAGGACGAGGATGAGGATGGTGCAGATGAGGATTTGTGGAAATTGTCATACAGTGCGTTCACTCTTGTAGGGCAAGGATTGCCACCGCGCGGGTGAGGACGAGGACGAGGATGTCAAATGTGGCGGCGCGAGGTTTTTAAAATTTTTTATTTGCTTTTCACCGCTGATTTGCAAATTGTCAGTGATTATATCCATTTTCACTGTCCACTTTCACCATAGTCCACAGCCGAGCAAAATCGACAGTGATGGGGTTTCAGACCTGACAGTAATGATATATCTATAATAGTGAAACTAAACCTAAAGGAACGACTCGACTATAAATGAGGGATGGGCTCCTCTCCTTCTTTCCCTCTGGCGGTTTCATTGGAGATAAAGGAGAGGCCTCTAGGCAATGACTACAAGTTGCCCTGATAGCAGCGATAGCTTGGAGCTCTTATTAGTGAGGTTTCTCGAGGGTTTGGAGACGATGCTGAGAAGACCTCTTTGCACCAGAGGAGAGAAAACACGCGCGTGCACACAGGATCCGAATATAATGCCTGATTATAAACATGAATCGTACATGCCCGGATGACAAATGAAGTGAGAGATTAAGTATAGTGTCGATATGGTTGGTGTGAGAATTTGTGGAACGTGGTGGGAAACTGGTCTAAGAAACTTTTAGGAAAGACTAGATCGGAAGAGGAGAGAGAGAGAGACCCGCGTTATGTACTTCTTAATCTATAAATCAGTTATCATATAAGCTTTGAGCTCGTGCAGAAATTCCTTTGGAATGGGGGCGCAATGCACCCATACAGGACTTATAGAATACTGTAAGCACACGTGAACCACACGAGGTTTTTATTTTACCAGTTGCTTGGATTCATTCCTGATTCATGCAGGTTAGGTTATAATTAAGTCGTCGTCAGCAAAGCCATATCGCCATACCTCTATTATTAGTAAGCATCGTCCCCACTCATGTGTTGTTGCTCGATCGCTCTGTATAAATATAGATAGCAATAGAGAGAGTAGAGTAAGCAGTGCATGCAAGTGCAAGCAGCGAGCGAGCCAGCTGCTGATCGACGAACTTGCTGCACGACACACACGGTTTCGCTCACGAAATCAGTGGTATGGCTCCGAACACTGTTGCTGCAGCTCCTCCTGCGAGCCTGGAGGAGACCGGCGCTGGGCTGACGGTTGCCACCGCCGGCGCCTTCGTCACCTACGCCCCACCCGTCTCACAAGTACGTATGTGTGTGTGTGTCTATATATATATATATATGTGTGTGTGTGCGCGCGCGCGCGAGCGGATGAGAGAGAGGGCGCACCAGCTCAAGGGAGAAGTGCGCCGCCGGATGTTCGACGCTGGCGGCGAGGCTACGAGGAGCGTGGCTGACATGGTGCCGCTAGTGGACACGCTCCAACGCCTCGGCATCGACAACCACTTCCGCCAGGAGGTTGACGCCGCGTTAAAACGCATCAACAGCTGCGAGAGTTTGGACGACGGCCTCCAGATCGTTGCTCTTCGCTTTCGTCTACTTAGGCAACATGGCGTCTGGGTCCCTGCAGGTATACGTCGTCGTAATAATACGTATAAATGTGTCCGTATATAACACACAATTACGCTACCTTGACAGATGTATTCGACAGATTCAGAGATGAAAGGACGGGCAGTTTCAGTGAAAGTCTGGCCAGTGATCCGAGGGGCTTACTGAGCCTATACAACGCGGCTCACATGGCAACACCTGGCGAGCAGGCCCTCGACGAAGCCATCTCCTTCTCCAGGCGTCACCTTGCGTCCATGAATGGCAGGCTCCCGTCGCCACTGGAAGAGCAAGTGTCCCGTGCCCTCGACATCCCACTCGCACGCCTGCCAAAGCGGCTGGAGACGTGTGTGGTGTTCCATGAGGAGGAATACTCTCGTGCGCGAATGCTGTTTGCCAAGACATTCGGGTTGCTGTCCTTGATGGATGACACGTACGATGTGTATGCTACATTAGAGGAATGCCATATACTCAACGATGCTATACAGAGGTACATATGTATATACTCCCTCAGCTCTAAATTATAAGATGTTTTGGCATTTCTGTGGCTTTAACCATGTATCTAGACGTAGTAATGTATATCCAGGTACATAGCAAAATCTATGTATCTAGAAAAGTTAAAACATATATTATGTATAATTTGAAATGGAAGGAGTACTATATATAACAGCACATCAACTCAAGCTGGATGTTTATGCATGACCTGATTAGGTTCTATATATCTCATTACGTGTGTCTTGTCTGCGTGCAGATGGGATGAAACCACTGCTTCCATTCTTCCAGAGTACATGAAAATGTTCTACATCAATCTTGTGAGGAACTTTCAAGAGTTTGAGCATAGTTTGCAGCCAAATGAGAAGTACCGCGTATCCTATGCAAAGCAAGCGGTAAGAAAAGTTATTATACATCGATCAATTAAAGTGTGTATATTTAAACGTATGGTGTACTTTGTTTTGTTCATATGTACGTTGGTACGAAGCACTAGTAATATTAATTTGTTTAATTAATTTCTCGCAGTTTAAACTGTCATCAAAGTACTATCTGGACGAGGCCAAATGGTGCAGTGAGAAATACGCGCCGAGCTTCAAAGAGCACATGGAGGTGTCTGTCATGTCGTCAGGCTTCCCAACACTAGCCGTGGTGCTGCTTATGGGTGCAGGTGACATGGCGACCAGGGAGGCGTTCCAGTGGGCGATCGGCGTCCCGGACCTGCATGGTCACCGCCAGTGGAGAGGTCGCTCGTTTCCTCAACGACATCGCTTCGTACAAGAAGGGGAAGAACAAGAAGGACGTGGCAAGCTCCGTGGAATGCTACGCCAAGGAGCATGCATGGCACGTCAGGGGAGGAGGCGGTGACCGCGATCGCGGGGATGGCGGAGCACGCGTGGAAGACGATTAACCGGTCGTGCATGGAGATGGATAGCGCCCTGTTGCCGGCCGCGCAGCTGGTGGTGAACCTGACCAAGACGCTGGAGGTCATATACCTTGGCGGCAGAGATGCCTACACCTTTGCTGCCGACCTCCAGGATCTCGTCGTCTCCCTCTTTCTCAACGGCCCTACTGTTTGAACTTTTTTTTTTTTGGTTATTGTATCGATCTTGCACTATGTTGTTTTAGTTATTAGGCTAGTTCCAATGAGAGTTTTCTTCCTATTTAACGAGGTGACACATCAGTAAAAATGATGATGTTACGTAGAAATTATGAGGAAAGAGAGGAGATGAGTTTCATTTGGATGAAACCCAGCGCGTACTGTGTTACTGGAACACTTAAAACTGAATAAAACTTCAATGGGTGTACTGTTACCAAAACACTCAAAACTCTAGGTAGCTCCAACAGTATTAAAAAGATCTATAGCTCGTAGAATATTTTATCAATAAAAAGCAGAGAGAATGATAAGCTAGCTCTTCGTAAAGAGTTAAGTTCACATACTTTCCTACGATCCATGTGTCTATATTTACACATTTTTCTATATTAGCATGTTAGCTTACTCTATTTTTGTTTTTTAAGTTCATATGAGCTAGCAAATTGACTATATTGTTGAGGATGCCATCATGTCCCCTTTGGCACCTGTATCACCGCTGATGTCAGGAGGGCTTTACATGGGAGCAGAACTAATTGCAAAGGATAAAACACACGCCTTGCAGCTGATGCCAATTTATTAAAACTTGATGTATTTCTATAATTGATAATAATTCTCACATACAGAATATATCTTCAAATTCATTTGAGTAATTGTTTTACTTGAAATGAGATCTACAAAACAAGACCCATTTTAATATATTTTTGAAATGTTTTTATTTGACCATCAACTTGTGTTGAATGTATAACCTATGGACAAACCATGCTTGTTGCAACTTGTAGACATTTACAAATCATGACTTGTTGAAGGACCGAGAAAGACGACCAGAGGAGGGATGGGGTGGGGGGTGCTGGTTTGAATGAGAGCCAATCAAAATTTCTTCCGAAATGGCCGTTGTCCCAAACAACACTCCAAAACATGAAATCACACAAGAGTGATGCCCTCGAGCCAACGGGTGTTTGAATGTTCTCGGTGATGACCAGAGAATTATTATCAATTATAGAACACGGCCTGGCCGGCTTTGCCTGCCAACAGCCCGAAATATTCCTCCCAAAAGTGGAAATCGACCCAAATCAAGTCTGATTGACTCCAAATTTGGTACAGAGGTAGAAGAAGATGTCAAGAAGATATTCCTAGAAGATCAAGCCCAAAAGATCAAGGGAACTCTGAGGATCTAGAAATCCATGAACCGAGCTGGGGTTTTCTCAACTTTGCTAAAAAATCCCGCCAAATTGTGCTCGTGAGGAATCTGACCAAATGGGTTGGTAGATATGTTCTCTAGCCACCCAATCAGTCTCAAATCTCTAGAAAAACGAAATCACCCAAAACGCAAGAGAAGGGGGTTCGGGAGAGGAAAAACCTTAACGATTCGAGAACACAAAGCAAGAACTCAGATATACGAGGAATGGTTGCTTTATTCCTCCACCAACAAGATCTAGTTCTTACATAAGAAAGATTAACACATCAGAGGTCTGATTCTCTGCACTGTGGATCTCTACCAGTACAGGCTTAGACTTAGACAGGGAAACTATAAGCCTTAAGCTCTCAAAACTCGGCAGTGGTAATTTCATATCACTGCTGGGTCAAGCCATGAACCGATAATGATAACCTTAGCCGATAGTGATATCACACTTATTACTTCTGGTTTGTGTCTTGATTCGATAGTGATAGCCTTCACTACCGGGTGCTGGGTGAATAACTTCTCCGGAATTTTCTGAATCATATGGGCTTATGAACCAACGGTAAAAGGCAACATACCCGATAGTGATGGTCTGGCAACCTGTTTAGTGTAGTGCTTAATGATCACGTTTAACACATACTTAACACATGAGGTGTTATAGTACAGGTATAAGAGAGAGTGAACGACAACGAATACATTCTGATTTGTACTTTAATAATTGGATATAAATATAGTTATATATATTTATAAACGATAATGCTGTGGCTAGGAAGTCCGTTTCGTCCGGACACGCGTTGGTGGGCCTCGACGCTAGAACGGCCCAACAGGCAACATTGCCATCCGCACGGAAATAAAAATAAAAAATCGCCGCTCACACCTTCTTCTCGAATTACCGTTGTTTCCCCATCCATTCTCGAACCAAGTCTCCATGCCCGCATCGCCGCAGCTTGCTCCACCGCAACCGCGCTACCGCCGCCTGCTTTCCTGTCTCCCCACTGCCACTCACCACTCGCCGCCGAGTTCTACGAGCCGACACGGGATGGTCCACAGTGACTGCTTGACTGCTCCAACGTGGCGTTGTTCACCACACCCAGCAGCTTGCCTGCCGCCATCCTCCCTCTCCACTGCACCCGAGCGCCATTTACTGGCTACCGCAGTTCCCCACCAGGTTGGCCATGGCTGCCGGCGGCGCCATGTGTTTGTTTCAACTGTGTTTCAGAAGTTATTTTCAAGTGTTTCATTTGTATGTTGCGTATGTTGCAATGGCTACATACGTATGTTGCAAGTATATGTTTCAAACATTTCAGTTGTTTGAGACGTATGTTTCACGCGTTTCATCTGTATGTTTAATGTGTTTCATTTGATGTTGCTAAAGGATCTAATGTTGCATATGTTGCAATGGCTACACATGTATGTTTCAAGTGTATGTCCCACATGTTTCATCTGTTTTAGATGTATGTTGCAAATGTATGTTCCAAATGTTTCAAACGCATGTCTCATGTGTTTCGTCTAGATGTTGTAATGATTATACAAGTATGTTTCAATAGTACACTGCATATGTTGTAATGGTCGGACGGATGTGGCAAAGGAGATGGTACAATAGGACTAGGGAAGGGGAACGGTCGAGACAGAGCACGGTGGATGACGGGGGCACGGCGGCGATGGCGCCGCATCGAGGGGAGGAGCGCGGTGTGGCGGGGGAAGGAGCGCGGCGGGCTTGACGCCGGGGGGGCGCAACCGGGATGGGGATTGTGTTACGGACGGCGGGGGTGTAATCGGGATAGGGATCAAGTCACGGATGGTCGAAAGCGGTCACTGGCGTGGGATCGGTCGTGGGTAGCCGGATGCGATTACGTCGCTGGCAAGGGATCTGATGCAAGCGCAGGGGTGTGTCCGATGCTAGGCGGTTGCAGGCGTCCGAACGCGTGCCTGGGCCGAACGTCTGGGCGCTAGGCCTTCCCATTTATAAATGGCCACGGTGCAAAATCAAAATGCAAGACAACCAAATACTACTCGAAAAGTATAAGGCTATGCTAAATTGGATATCCATTAATGCTAGACCCTTATGCAGGCTATCACAGCCAACGAGACTTACAGATTTTTAGGAGCACAAAAACATACAGTCGAGTAGTCGACATCATACTTCCAGAGCAGATGCAGATTGCAGCGGGCAGACAAGCGTGCATATGTGCGTGGCTGAGTCATGGACATGGCCCATCGTACAAGTGAGCAGGGAGCTTGGGCTCAGGTACGGCCTCAAGCGGGACCATTCGCGGCATGGACAGCCCGAATTTCTCCTCCATGCTCAGGTCGTCCACACCCACGCCGTCGGGGAGCCTCCATGCAAAGGCTTGAAGAAGGTTTGCTAGCATCAGCTGCACCATCTTCATCCCGAGGCCGAGGCCCGGGCACATCCGGCGGCCGGACCCAAGCGGCAGGAACTCCAAGTCGTGGCCCTTCACGTCCACTCCGCTCCCGACGAAGCGCTCCGGCCGGAACTCCTCCGAGGCGTCCCCCCACAGAGCAGGGTCGCGGGCAATGGCCCAGACGTTAACGAACACGCGGGTGCCGGCCGGGATATCGTAGCCGCCCACGGAGGTGTCCTCGCGGGACAGCCGGGGCGCGAGCAGCGGCGCGACCGGGTGCACGCGCAAGGCCTCCTTCACCACAGCATCCAGGTACGGGAGGCGCGGGATGTCCTCCTCCGTGACCAGCCTGCCACCGCCGACGACACGGTCCAGCTCGCCCGTGGCCTTGGCCATGGCCTCGGGATTCCTTAGAAGCTCCGAGAGAGCCCACTCGGTGGCGACCGCTGAGGTATCCGCGCCAGCGGCGATGATGTCCTGCCGGCATTCACGCGCGTCGATCGATCCTCTCTCTGTGACATATATATACCAGCAGATGGAGTGAAAGAAAGTGAAGTCTTTACCAGAATGAATGCCTTGATGCCATCCCGCTCGATGGGAGCCTCCAGGTTGGCATCGTCAGCGAGCTGTAGCAGCCGGTCCACCATGTCCCTCGGCACAAAGCCCTCGCCCTGTCGCCGTCGCCGCTCACTGTGCTCGACCAGGACGTGCTCGAGCAACGGGTCGATCATTTTGCTCAGTCTCTTCATCCTCTTGATGTACCCCTGCAGGTCCAGAAAGCTGAGCCACGGGATCACGTCCCCGACGTTCACCACGCCGTTGAGGAAGAACTCCTGGATCATCCACCGGAACGCCTCCGGCGGCATCAGCGAGCCGGCGCCGTCGAAGATGTACTTCCTGCCTAGCGCCATACGCGAGACCACGTTGAAGCTCGCCATGGAGAGGTGGTCCTTGAGCCGCACCACCGCGCCTCCGTCGCGGGACGCGGCCGCCGACACATCCCGCAGCATGCAGCGCACCTCCTCGATGCGGATATGCTCCGTCGATTTGATCCGGCTCGCGCTGAGGAGCTCGTTCTGGTACAGCTTGCGCCCCTGGCGCCAGTACGGACCGTACGGCGACCACAGCACGTCGGAGCCGTGGTAGAGGATGTGCCTAGCCGAGGCCACGGCGGGGTGGTCGAGGAACGCCAGGTCGTGGGTCTTGAGGAAGAATTTCGCCATGTCGACGGATGAGCCGACGACGACGGGGTAGGAGCCGAACTGCAGCGACAT